ATTCCACAACTCCCCTTTCTGACTGCATCTGTAGCAGAGCCGTTGGTCTGCACTTTTTAATCCACAGGAGTGTAAATCGGTAATATAGTATTTACAATTGTAATTCAGTAGTCCAATAGAACCATTGTAATTCAGTAGTCCAATAGAACCATTGTAATTCAGTAGTCCAATAGACTAGTGCAACAATCACAATTCCAGCCTGGCGTTGGTTGAAAAACGTAATCAATGCATCACCCAGTGTAAATCCAACATAACTTTGATGTATTGATTTACTTGCAAGATTACCGCACAGATCAGTGCTATGATCCTACTTAATAGAACAGTTCATGTCATACATAATAACTTTATCTCTGATGACATCAAAGTTCGATACCTCTAAGTATCCATCATCATTAAAAGGAAATGCAGTTGGTGTCTCAAAGTGGTCACCCATCTAAGTATAAGCCACATTGACGTTGCTTTATTTCGGTGATCGGTGTGAACCGGTTAATTATTTCAAGTATATTACCAAGCAAAAGAGTTGTTAAAGAGAAAAGGAAAGTAGGGAAAATGAAACAGGGGGAAGGAAAGACATTAAAACTATTTACATTTGTTGACTGGGGCTAGAATGGTCACGACAAAGGGCACGGGAGTAAGAGGACATCATCCCGTGTCTGGTTACATTCAGCTTTACTGGGTGCTGATCACACGGCAGCCGGGTTGTCGGATGTTGTGAAAGACTGATGATGATGTTAGTTTAGGTTTATATAGCCTTGTGTTTTACAACATGAGGCCTTTTTTTTAGGTGAAAGAATAGTTCATGGGGGTTTTTGCATTGTATATTTTTAGAGACTCATTTTATTTACATCTGAGGAAAAGCTATATGTTTGTATATACTGAGATTAGTAACACTTTAATGTATCATTTATTTCTTAGGTTTGCTAATGCGTTTAGGTTTTCCTGAACTAAAAATCAATATGCAATCTCACCAAGCACGTTTGACCCCAGAAAACAATCGCAGCAAGATTCTCAAAGTGTTTATGTATTGACTGCACATATTTATTAATTTATTCCAACACCTGCTTGTGCAAATCAAGTTACTTAGTTTGTTAGTTAGCTGGTTGGTTGGTTGGTTAGTTAGTTAGTTAGTTAGTTAGTTAGTTAGTTAGTTAGTTAGTTAGTTAGTTATTTAGTTAGTTAGTTAGTTAGTTAGTTAATTAGTTAGTTAGTTAGTTAATTAGTTAGTTAGTTAGTTAGTTAGTTAGTTAGTTAGTTAGTTAGTTAGTTAGTTAGTTAGTTAGTTAGTTAGTTAGTTAGTTAGTTAGTTAGTTAGTTAGTTAGTTAGTTAGTTAGTTAGTTAGTTAGTTAGTTAGTTAGTTAGTTAGTTAGTTAGTTAGTTAGTTAGTTAGTTAGTCGCTACGGTTCCGGCATCACGGCAAACGACCTTGGCCCATAAAAGCTCAACCGCCTATGCCAGTGATTCTAGTCACAAGCTGAGTCAGATACGCTGGATACTTCAAGAGAATGCGTAGCCATACAAAGTGTCCTCAGTCAGCAAAACACACACGATTTGAAATGGCAAACCATAAGGTGCATGCCTTCTTAAACACACTGCGAGACCAGGCGTTATCGCTGAAAATTACCTTCATTCGACGAATAGCTGGGCGATGAGTAGATTAAAACTATTCATGACCATTCTCCACACGTCTTCGGCCAAGTTGCAGCCACGGCCAGCAAATACATAGCAGCTACAACACACGCCTCATCACAGGAACACAACGAAGAAAAATACATCACCCATCATTGCCATTATGTACGAATCTAGAACTTAGTCATAACCGATAATCACAGCTCATAGTGCCACCAGGAGCACCAATATCAGTAGCTCCGACTATAAACCAGACTTTCACAATCTTGCAATATCGAAACTGTAGAGAAACGGTGACGAGAACGGTCAACATAAGCCAAGTTCTCAACCGTCATCCATTCCCTATCAATGTCGGAACTGGAAGTCTTGTGTAAATCAAAACCTTGGTTAATTTCATAGCCGAAAAGTGATACAATAACAAAAACTGTGCTCTATTTGCTATTTAAAAAAAAAAAAAAAAATATCAAGCTGTACCCGGCCACGCGTTGCTGTGGCATAGTTTGGCTAAATGGAAAAGAAAAAAATAGAAACCTCACATGTCTAATATGGTTACTGTTGCAATCATTGACTGCGCACATACAGAGATAGTCCCCCCCCCTCCCAATTTCACCTACTACTCGCTCCCTCATCAAAGGCTTTTGGAAAAGAAAGACAATGGAAATTGCACGTGTCTAATATAGTTAATGTAGCCATCCTTCTCTGCACAGATATAGAGATAGTCTGGTTTGCCACTTTAGAACACGCAACATATAATTGCGTCTTTATATTAGTGGTCGTTTAAATGGTATTATTAGCTCAGTAAAAAAAAAAAAAAATGGTTATTTGGTTATCACATGCTAAAGCTGTTTGTATTTTTTTTTTTTTAAAGTGACGGAAGTAAAGCTTACTACTGTACTTGTAAATAACAAAGTAAGTCGTTAAAAAATGAGAATAGCGGAGGTAGCGTTAGTAAAATATAAACAAATTAAGAAATGAAAACTTCAAAATCATGCCTTAAGCTCTTTAAGTTAACAGTTTCTGTCATAACCCCCTACCTCCCCCCATCCAACAAATACTGCTCTCTGCCTCATCGAAGGATTTGAAAGTCTTCAGCTAACGATATTTTTTGTAACTGACGTTGATAACCCTGTCAAAACAATAGGGAGCAGGGATTGTAATGAGTAGTAAATGCTGCTAGTATAATATTTACCACGTTATTCTTCAAGTACCAGTACAACTACTGCCACCACAATAACTAAAATAATGTCACTGCTATCTGTTTTACCGTCGGAGTAGACAGGGAGTCGTGAGCCAGAGGATTTGTCGCCGCAAGGCTAATGCTGTCGCCATGGACTGGTCAGGTTAGGATGTGTAATTTCGCTCCCCGACAGAAAAATGCCATCATCTTACCGGCGGTCTCCGGCATGACAACACTACGGTGTAACCGCCCAACCACAACTACTACTACTGCTACTTTTAGTGGGTAAGGCAGTTACTGTTACTTAAAGCTCTTTCAGTTACCAGTTTATGCAACCCCCCCTTTTTCCCTAATTCACCGACTACTCTTTCCTTTATCGAAGTAGTTTGGAGAAAAAAACAAGTGAAATGCAACGAAAACAGAAAAAATACACCATAATTACGAAATGAACGCTAGGATAAACAACACAGCCTAATTCCAACGCAATGTCAGAAGAAATAATTAAATCGAAATGAAAATGAAAGGAAATCTACGAAGATTCAGCGTAACCATGCAATCGGAAAGTTTGAAATAAAATCAAAATTATGCGAAATGTTCAAATTTAATTATTAACTGTTTTACCCACATACCTGTTTTTTTTTAAATTGTATTTATGGCCACATGGCTAGTTCAGGTCTGGGTTTTAGTTTGCCCCCGTGTAAAAAAAGGAAACTGCAGTATTAGGGATTTTCGAACCCTAGTCTCCCGCACGGGAACCCAGTGTACTAATCGTCACGGCTTCTTAACGAAAAGAGAACAAAACTACGCAAGATGTGTGTCTCGATTCTAACAACTCAAAACCGCAGGCAATTGTTTTCTCTTAAACAGATATCCCATATATAAACTTCAAGTATTTTGAAACGGCACAGTAATAGAAATCGTACGTGTCTAACACGGTAAATGTCGCAATCAATGTCTGCGCAGACATAGATCGCGCCCTTCTCTTCAGCTTTCTTAAATCCACCGACTACTCTCTAACTCATCGAAGGTTGTTTGTAAAGAAAGAAAATATAAATCGTGTCTAATATGGTTAACGTCGCAATCAGCTATATAGAGATAGTCCTGGTTTTCTGTACGGGCGGATGTTAAAAATAAAGCTTCCTGTGTCTACTGCGCATGCACTGTGAAAGTCGATCGCTCATGCTCATTTACTAATGTGGCTATCATTAAATGTCACTGAAAATGGAAATATTAGTTTCGAAGATTTTCCCAACAAATGTGGTCACCTATCTCTAACAATGACAGGTAGAATTTCAAACCATGATGGGTAAACATCCGGTATCAAAACAAACATATCCTGAAAATTTCAGCTAAATCGGTTCAGTAGTTTCCGATTCCATAGCTCATAAACAAACACACAAACATTGATTTTTATATCTATCGATAGCGTAAAACATTAGCTCCGTTGTACATAAAAAGTCTATAGGTTATTTCCCTTGGAAAAAGTGATAGTATCTTGACCTATCGGTTGTTGCGTATCCTCTACAGGACGTTGCAGAACCAACCCTAACAGCCCCTGGCTGTTGTGTGGTTTCTCTAGGCAAATTTACGTCCAGTAGTTTGCCATTGCTTGCTGGACGGTCGGCTTTCTTGATACCACTGTCGAAACCAACGCAAGGCGCATTGCCCGCAGCTGGGATCGAACCTGGCATCCCGGCATTACGAAGCGAAGTGTTCGCATCGACTTAGCCACAGAGCCGACTATCTTGACCTATGAATGTTGGTAAACATTTGGACATTGAAAATGACCAATAGGAAGCAAACTTGATCACACTATTTTTTTTTTTACCACATTGCATTCTCATCCAGGCAAGGGTGTGCAAAATTTCGGCATTATATCTTGTCGGAAAATAGTATAAAAATCGAACGCCGCTCACCGTCTAAATAAACTTTAGTAAGCTAATAGTTCGGTTAGCTGCGTATCCTTTACATGACGTTGCAGAACCAACCGCAACAGCCCTTGGCTGTTTTGTTGTTTTTTGAGGAAAATTTAGTTTGCCATTGCTTTCTAACCTAATAGTACGCTAATGAAAATGCTAAGATGCTTGTAGAAATTAGAAGCGTAGCTTTAAAAAAAAAAGTATTTTAATGAAGTATGTGTTATTTAATAAAGAATATGTTATTTAATAATTGGTCATCTCATTGATTAATCAACAGACGAAAAAATGCTGTCGTTGTCAGTTAATTTCTTTTCCTTTCGAGAAGTTTCCAAAGCGCCTGAAAGATCTACATACTTATATGTGGAAACCAATGATTATTCGTGTGAGTATTGTTACAAACCAACCTATTTACCTTGTTGAAAACATGATCTTAACTCTTTCCTTCCTAACATACTGTTATAGTAACTTCTTCCATTCCAAAGAGTAGGGGCTTAGAGGCAACAAATACTTACCTCTAGAGGAATTCAACAGACACACTTTGGGGCAAAGGTAGGTAGACTAACAAAACAAAAAACAAAAAGAAGAAGGAGGAGGACGAGGAGAAGAAGAAGAAGAAGAAGAAGAAGAAGAAGAAGAAGAAGAAGAAGAAGAAGAAGAAGAAGAAGAAGAAGAAGAAGAAGAAGAAGAAGAAGAAGAAGAAGAAGAAGAAGAAGAAGAAGAAGAAGAAGAAGAAGAAGAAGAAGAAGAAGAAGAAGAAGAAGAAGAAGAAAAAGAAGAAGAACACTGAAAAAAGACAACGGAAAGGAAAAGGAAAGAGGACGGGGTTCGGGTTGGAGGCACGGGATGGCTAAGGCCACGATATAAGACTACCCGACATATTCTCTGTCTCTTTCTCTGTCTGTCTGGTCTGTCTGGTCTGTCTGGTCTGTCTGGTCTGTCTGGTCTGTCTGGTCTGTCTGGTATGGTCTGTCTGTCTGTCTGTCTGTCTGTCTGTCTGTCTGTCTGTCTGTCTGTCTGTCTGTCTGTCTGTCTGTCTGTCTGTCTGTCTGTCTGTCTGTCTGTCTGTCTGTCTGTCTGTCTGTCTGTTTGTCTGTCTGTCTGTCTGTCTGTCTGTCTGTCTGTCTGTCTGTCCCTCTCTGCCTTTGTCCCCCGTCCTCTAACTTAATTTTGGAACTGATAACCTGATTATCTACAGTGATGGATTTAAAAAAAAATGGTAATGGAGAAGTAAAAGAAGGAGTTATAAATATTCCTGTTTTGAAAAATAAAAAAAACTATTATAAAAGTTGAGAAATAGTGGTCAAAAATGGTCTTAACAGCACTATTGGCCCCCTGGGCAAACCAGTTTGTTGGGTTCCCTGCGACACCCACGCATAGAACTGGGTGAAGTGATCAAGTCGTTGGCCTCGCGCTCTGAAGAGTGTAGCTCAGTTTCACGGCTGCGCCGTTCAGTTGAGGTGCTTTTCATGGTCTTCATGCTCCAAGCGAGCCAAGCGGAAAATCCGTGCGACAAACTTGGGGCTGGACAGGTAGATAAGGGAGAGTCGGAGCTGGACTTGTGGTCAGTTGCTTAAAGAGAAGTCGAGGAAGACAGTTGTGGTCACGCCCATCTTCAGGCTTTTTATAGTCCTTCTAACTAATTTCATAACAAAACGAAAGGGAGTCCCTACTTCCTTCCTTCTTCGACTGATGTGTTCTTTGTTCGGATGTTTTGCGTGTTAAGGATACATACTTCATTAACTATATTTAACTGTTTTGCGTGTGATTATATAAATAAAAATGCATAGGAAATGTAGTATTCCTTTATGTAAATCTAATTATAGATCGACGAGTGAATATGTAACTGTATTTAAATTCCCTAGGGATTCTGAAATGAGAGATAAATGGAAGAAGTGCATACCACGTAAAGATTGGTCGCTTAATAAAAACAGCGTGGTGTGTCGTCATCATTTTCTTCCCCGTGATATTATTGTATCGAATAAATTTACAGATAAATCTGGTGTTGAACATGAGGTACCCAGAAAGTATCCTGGTTTAAAATCAAATGCATATCCATCTCATCTGTGTTTCCAGAACTGCCAGCCTACTTTTCAGTTGAAGTACCACAAGCTCGCAAAAATCCTAAAAAATGAGCATCAGAAATTGTCAGCAGATAAGAAAATGATAACAGCGAGTGGCTATCAATGGATTTTGTAGAGGATTTTGAAACCCTGCAGTGTCAGATTACCACCAAATTAAAAGACTTGTTAGATACGAACTGGAAAATGTATACTGTCACAGAGGGTACATCATGTTGTCTTGTATTGTACACAGTCAGTGTGAAAGCAGACACTGCACCATCAATATCAGTAAGTGTAAAGATCTTACCAGATATGTGTGTAGAAGTGTATCTAGAAAGTAAACAGGTTGCTTGTCAAGATCTTGATTGGATTATTAGTAAAAGTAAATTGGAAAGATGGTCGCAACTAGAAAATCTACTGATTCGTTACAAGGAGACTGACTCCGCAACATCTCCGAAGAGTTTCAGTGATTTGTTGGAAGAAGCTTGCAGTAACTTAGATATTGCTAGAGAACTCCTGTTATCATCTGAGGACACTAATGTACAGACAGCTGAAAAGCAATTAATGTTTATGATAGAACAGATTCAACTGATTAATAAGAGCAAATATGCCAGACGCTACAGCAGTTGTACATTGTGTTTTTCCTATATGATTTTCATCAAATCTCCTGCATGCTACAGATTTATCAGAAAATCTATGTTATTGTGTCTCCCACATCCGAACACATTAACAAGTTTAACTTCACCTTGCGCACTGTCTAACAGTGATGGGAGCATTTCTGGATACTTAAAATTTAAAGAGTGCAGGCTTTCTGATTTGGAAAAGATTGTAGTGGTGCAAATGGATTAAATCCATGTGAAATCAGCTGTAAATTACTCAGGAGGTCGGTTACTTGGTAGAGCTGAAAACTCAACACATTCAGCAACAACAATACAAGCTTTTATGATTTCTTCTGTATTTGGTAGTTACCATGAAGTTGTAGAGTTGGCACCAATGCAAAGAATGACATCAAAGGATCTAAGTGCAAAATTGCTTCAGATAATCAAAACTGTTCAAGAATGTGGTTTTACAGTTTTGGCAGTTATTGCAGACAACTACTCTGTTAACCGCAAAGTATACAACAATCTTCTCAAGTCCAGCAATACATGCATAGAAAATCCAGGCATTCCAGGCAACAAAATCTTCTTTCTGTATGACTCTGTTCACCTGCTTAAATGTATATGGAGAAACTGGATAAATCAAAAAGACACAGAGCAGACATTTTCATATCCTTCCACAGCTGGGTTAATGCTGAATGCAGCATCTACCTCAAATTATACCAGCAAAGTAGCAAGTACTTCTTTTTCACATATGAAGGATCTGTACCAGACCGAGCGCCTCAACATTGTGAAGTTAGCACCAACTTTAAGATACAAAGCTCTTTACGCTTCCAGTATAGAAAGGCAGAATGTTTCACTAGCTCTTGCTATTTTCAGTGAGTACAACATTGCTGCTCTAAAGTTTGTAAGAAATCAAGAAACAGCAGATTTTATTCAAGCCATTTGGAGGTGGTGGCATGTTATGAATGTTAAGAGTAGATTCTCAGGTAGAGATACTGGTAACATATTTGCCAGTCCACTCACTTCAGTTAATGATGAATCACTTCATTATTTGAAAAACTTTCTTGTTTGGTTGAATGAATGGACTAAGGTGCCTGCTTTGAAGGGAAAACTAACAAGAGAGACACATACTGCTTTGTTGCATACTGTAAAAGCTGTGATTGAACTGGCTGACTATTCTTTTTCTACTTTTAATGTGGAATTCCTACTTTTGGGAAAACTACAAACAGATAATTTAGAAGCCAGATTTAGCGAATATCGACAATTGTCTGGTGCAAACTATCTTGTGTCTGTGAAACAAATTTTGGAAGCAGAAAAGAAATTGAAGGTTTACTCTGTTTTATGCCTGACATCATCTGTTTATGGAAACTTTGCAATTCGCAACTTTGCAGAGGCTGTGAGCACAGTGGATGATGAGTGCCATAATGTTTTTGATGTCATCCAGTCTGATCTAGACAAAGTATTTTTCCACATTGATCCTAATGACTGTGAGTTGTATTGTGTTGAAGGCACAGAGGAAGTATTAATTTATATTGCTGGATTTGTCTCAAGTAAGATCACCAGAAAAGTTCAGTGCATTTCATGTAAGACTGTGCTACAAATGGACAAAACATTAACAGTTGATGTTCAGCCAGATTTCTCCACTGAGTAAATTAGACGTTAGTGCAGTACAAGTAGCCACCTTGCTGTAATCATATAAAGCCGAATCGTGACAGAAAGCAGAGTCGTTGTAACGGAGTTCATGCTCTTTGCGACGCTGTCGGCAGGCGACAGACCCTTTTGTGGAGAGACTGAGTTGTATAGGATAAAACACAGAGCAATAGTCAACCGTCTTGACTTCGACTTTAAATTACACATATTAGCGTCTGGTCCCTATGTTCCTCCCTGACGCCGACCCCCCGAGGCACGTGCCTAGCCGGCCCTTGGGTTCAGATGGTGCTGTTGCTCCCATGAATGTAATTACATAAATAAACACTAATAAACCACAGAATAGCATTTTGTTTATCAAAATTAAATCAAAACTTATACGAAGATTGAAAACAATAAATATTTTTTTTTTTTACTTCCCTTTATTCATAGCAGACATTTTCTTTAATTTTTATTTTCCAAATTCAAAATCTTTGATCAGATACTCGCAACTAATTGTATGTGACACATCTGCTGATATACCTAACAGATGAGTCGTCCGGCCTGCCTTGTTGCATCCTAATGAGATTTTTTAAAATATACTACAAAAAGAAATCAGACGCTTAGCTCCGAATCTGTTGAAAATGTATGTGTCTGTGTTGCCCCTACCTTTTTGATGCCACAAACACGTGCTTATTGTGCTTTATGCCTAATCAGTGCATATTTATGTATGTGTGCTGTGTTGTTCTTTTTTTGCTGATGAAGGGCTAATCGCCGCAGCGTCCTTTGTTTGTTCATTGTGATCGATTTTTGAAAGCTGACATCAACTATTTGTTCTCTCTTACAATTTTTTTCTCTTCCCTGCACTTTCCTACCCTTTTAAAAACATTCAATAGTTGTAAGACGTTCACACGCGATCAGCTAAACATTGAACGGAGAGCACCGGAGTTTACTTTTCTAATATAAAATATATTTTTTTTCTTTGAAAAAATATTTCTTGAACAGTCTAATTTTCTAACATATTTCTCTTTAACGTAAAAAATAAACAAAAAATGTTGACGGTCCAGTCTTCTTTTGTAATACATAATTATTAATATATATCTCTTCAGAAGCAGATTGCACAGTCGACTTTTCAGATATATAATTAATACATTTCTCTTAACAAAATAGAAAGGCCCAGTCTACTTTTCTAATACTTAATTATTATACTTCTCTTTGAAACAAAAACAGATGGCGCTATTTCGTGCCAGAAAGTATGTGGTGTGGCAGGACGCAAGTATTAGGTACGTTCGTTTTCCTGGACCACTTTTTGAAAGGGCGATGCACCTTGGAGTGCAACTTGTTAGAGATTTTGGGATGACGGCCACAACTACACACTACACCCTTCCAGAGGTTAGTACAGATTATTTATTTTTTATAAATATTTATCCTTATAAGGAACATAGAAGCCAACGTGGTATGGCGACTAAATCCTTACCTGCGGATCCGAATATGGTGGGTTCATGTCCGAACAAAGTCGGATTTTGTTTCTATCTAGAAATTAAATTGCCTCCCAGTTCGATTCAGCCTTAAATGAATACCAGATTAAGTCCTGGGAAGTAACGACAGCCAGTGTTATGTTAACCGATTACTGGGAAGTAAAGACAGCCGATGTAATGTTAACCGGTTACTATTAAGTAAAGACAGTCGGTGTTATGTTAACCGGTTACTATTAAGTAAAGACAGTCGGTGTTATGTTAACCGGTTACTGTGAAGTAAAGACAGCCGGTGTTATGTTAGCTGGTTACTTTGAAGTAAAGACAGCCGGTGTTATGTAAAACCGATTACTGGGAGGTAAAGACAACCGGTGCTATGTAAAACCGATTACTGGGAAGTGAAGACAGCCGGTGCTATGTTAACCGATTACTGGAAAGTAAAGACAGTCAATTGTATGTAAATCGATTACTGGGAAGTAAATACAGTCGGTGTTGTGTTAACTGGTTGCTGGGAAGTAAAGATAGCCGATGTTATGTTAACTGGTTACTGCCTCCCAGTTCGATTCAGCCTTAAATGAATACCAGATTAAGTCCTGGGAAGTAACGACAGCCAGTGTTATGTTAACCGATTACTGGGAAGTAAAGACAGCCGATGTAATGTTAACCGGTTACTATTAAGTAAAGACAGTCGGTGTTATGTTAACCGGTTACTATTAAGTAAAGACAGTCGGTGTTATGTTAACCGGTTACTGTGAAGTAAAGACAGCCGGTGCTATGTTAACCGGTTACTAGGAAGTAAAGACAGACAGTGTTATGTTAACCGGTTACCATGAAAAAAAAAGATAAATGGTGTTATGTTAACCGGTTACTGTGAAGTAAAGACAGCCGGTGTTTTGTTAACTGGTTACTGTGAAGTAAAGACAGCCGTTGTTATATTAACCAGTTACTGTGAAGTAAAGACAGTCGGTGTTATGGTGAAACCGATTACTGGGAAGTAAAGACAGCCGATGTTATGTTAACCAATTACTGGAAAGTAAAGACAGCCAGTTTTATGTTATTCGATTACTGGAAAGTAAAGATAGCCGATGTTACGTTAACCGGTAACTGGAAAGTAAAGACAGCCAGTATTATGTTAACCAGTTACTGTGAAGTAAAGACAGCTGGTGTTAAGTTAACCGGTTGCTGGAAAGTAAGGACAGCCGGTGTTATGTTTACCGATTACTGGGAAGTGAAGACAGCCAGTATTATGTTAACTGGTTACTGGGAAGTAAAGACAGCCAGTGTTATGTTAATCGGTTACTGGGAAGAAAAGACAGCCAGTTTTATGTTAACCGACTACTCTATAAAACATTGGTCTTGAACTCCCAGTTTGTCTGAAGGCATGGGTAATGACCTTTCACTATTAAAAACATAGATCTTTAGCCAGCAGATGCCAAGCTTTTATTTCTTCGCCAGTTACTGCAGCGACCCCATCTGTGGTTTAGGCTTTGCGAACATAATTCACAGTTTCTAGGTGCGGCGTTCGATGCCAACTGTTGGCGATTTTTTAGCAGACCGCTATGTTGTGGTTAAATATTGGTATCGAGATCAGTGTCGAGCTACTGTTTGTACAATTGCCTTGTGAAATCACAGACAGCGGCAACGACAACAACAACAATAACAACAATAACAATAACAACACCAACAACAACAATAACAACAACAACAATAATAATAACAACAGCAGAATGCTGCCATGCTCTCCATGTTCTCCAGATATCACTCAGACGTCTCTGATAGTCTTCTGCGTGGATGTAGGCCTCTCTATGTCTATATCGACAGCCGCAGTAGCATGATCGATTAGTTGCCTGCCAATTGAGTAGTTGGGGGCTCACTCTTCAGCAGAAACGTGATGTTTCTTGTTCCCGATTAGTCAAGTCCTTCAGAGTTAGGGTAGCGAAGTGGCTAGACCCTCGCAAGCCAATCCAAAGGTTTTAAGTTCGAATCCTCATTGAGTTAGACATTTCTTTCATTTTATTTAGAATTGATCTTGACTCCCAGGTCAACCTAGCCTAAAACCGGTGTCAAGTGGTAAATAAAAGTGACCTACGTGATGCTGACCCCGTTCCCAACTGAATGAAGATTGGTTTATAAAAATAAATCTAGCATCATACACTAGATGAGTCACTGGTGTGAAAATGGTCATATAAAGCCTTTGAGTAGCTTCAGCCTCATCAGAATGATTTTTGTAGTAACTGTTAATGGAAGGCGACAAGGAATGGCCTGGCCCTCCAGTCTTCTCTGTTTTAACCGATTTTTGGTTTTAGAACAGCTCACATTTGAAAGGCTGTGTCTGCTAATGGACTTATTTTCACCAATCCCTCTTGACGCCTGCGTTCTACTTACTTAAAAGACATCAAGAGGCATCCCATTTATTGATTGCTTGGAAATTAGCTTTCTCCAAAAGATGCTCATCAGTATCTATATGGGATCTTCTAACTCTGCCAGAAGTGTTACCAGATCAGTTGTGTTTTGCTATAAGTGCTACGTTCTACTTCTAACTCAAGTCTGAGTCCAAAGAATCTCAGGGCAGTGCACGGACTCCGCTGCATCGGCGAAATACTTTTGGTAGATTTTAATATCAAATTTTGGCCGAGCCCGGATTTCCAACTGCCAAGGGATTTTTTTTTTTTCTACGTGCGCAACAATACACTCAACGTCCGATCTTTCTAACCCGAGACAAGAAGGAAATTACTAGGGTCCTGAACCCGGGACCTCCAGCATTGGTTTCCGACGTAATGCATCGAGACCACTCAGCCCCCGTACATATTCAATGCCATGAAGTGAGATTACTTCACTATTAGGCTTGTTTTCCTTTTCTTTGTGCGCGGATGTGTCTGGGAGAGACGCTGGACATAACAAATTGCACAGACGCTATATATAATGACACTGAACAGACGCTGGATATAATGACACTGAACAGACGCTGGATAAAATGACATTGAACAGACGCTGGAATAATGACACTGCACAGACGCTGGATATAATCACATTGAACAGACGCTGGATATAATGACATTGAACAGACGCTGGATATAATCACATTGAACAGACGCTGGATATAATGACATTGAACAGACGCTGGATATAATGACTATTAACAGACGCTGGATATAATGACATTGAACAGACGCTGGATATAATGACATTGAACAGACGCTGGATATAATGACATTGAACAGACGCTGGATATAATGACATTGAACAGACGCTGGATATAATGACATTGAACAGACGCTGGATATAATGACTCTAAACAGACGCTGGCTAAAATGACATTGAACAGACGCTGGAATAATGACACTGCACAGTCGCTGGATAAAATTACATTGAACAGACACTGGATATACTGACATTGAACAGACACTGGATATAATGACATTGAACAGACGCTGGATATAATGACATTGCACAGACGCTGGATATATTGACATTGAGCAGACGCTGGGTATAATGACATTGAACAGACGCTGAATATAATGAAATTGAACAGACGCTGGGTTTAATGACATTGAACAGACGCTGGATATAATGACATTGCACAGACGCTGGATATAATGACATTGCACAGACGCTGAATATAATGAAATTGAACAGACGCTGAATATAATGAAATTGAACAGACGCTGGGTTTAATGACATTGAACAGACGCTGGATATAATGACATTGAACAGACGCTGGGTATAATGACATTGAACAGACGCTGTGTATAATGACATTGAAAAGACGCTGGATATAATGACATTGAACAGACGCTGGCTATAATGACATGAACAGACGCTGGATATAATGACATTGAACAGACGCTGGGTACAGTGAAATTGAACAGATACTAGGTATAATGACATTGAACAGACGCTGGATATAATGACATTGAACAGACGCTAGAAATAATGAAATTGAACAGACGCTGGATATAATGACATTGAACAGACGCTTTATATAATGCCATTGAACAGACGCTGGAAATAATGACATTGAACAGACGCTGGGTATAATGACATGAACAGTCGCTGGATATAATGACATTGAACAGACGCTAGGTATAATACATTGAACAGACGCTGGGTATAATGTCTTTTTTTACCTTTCCTAACATGCTCTCTGAGTCAGTAAATTAACGCCGCTTATTGTTGCGTTGTTCTTGATACACTTTTGTTTTTGTTTTTGTTTTTTATGTTTCCGATTCCAATTTCTTTTAAGAAAAAAATTAAAAGTTAGACCACTTTCAGACTGCTGCTAGCTAGCCTAGGCTGCTAACAGTCTTAGTCTATATTTGTGGTCTGGTTTTTTTTTTTTTTTTTGCGTAACTAAAGTTTTAGTATTTGCAGTCTCTGCGCTTAATGCGTCCTTCTTTCGAGTCAGACCGCTCGTTCTTTACCCTGTTGTTAGCTGTAGACTTCTTGCCTTTTCCTTCCAGGTGTTTCCTCCTTGGTTTCAGCTCCCTCTAATTTAGCCAGGGGTATTTCGTAGTTTTGTGTGTGTGTGTGGTTTGCATTAAGGCTTTTTATGGCTTCCAAAAAAGGGGAAAAAGTGTTTGTAACAGTGATGTAAATGAAGATAAGCCTATTACAGAAGAAACGAAGAATGAAATAATAACTCAACATAACAATGGTGTTCGTGTGTCTGGTCTCACCAAGCAGTACTACATGGATCAATCTACGATCTATATTATCTTAAAGAACACAATTGCGCTTAAGAAGTATCAATGACTAAACGAGTGAGAAAGTTAACTTAGCAAATGTCCCAATCAATCGAACCAATTCCTGGAGAGAAAAAAATGCAGAATACCTGAAATACTTATACAGTTGCCCGACCTTATTATGGAATGTAAAGAAAAAATTTAAAAGCGAACGAAAAGTATATTAGCAAGCTTC